TCACTAGTATGGAAAGTTTCTCGGCTTTTGCTGGAGAATTGAATTGGATCTCCAGGGTGTCCTTCCTACAGAACAGGAGAACAGCATGGTGGTTTATGAACTTACTTGCATGGAGTTGTTTAGCTATTCCTCCCAGAGTGCAGAAATGGTCAGAAATGGGGAGCTGAACCCACGTTAGATTCACAGCAGTTCTGGGGAAATGTTAAAGCATGAAGGTTTTCTTCCTTCCACGTACAGGTTGGAGGACTTGATGTTACGTCTGTCTTAGCTGAAGAGACTCTTGGAGCCACAGCAATTGCGTTGTTAGCTGGCCGATCTCAGTGGTTCTGAATCAAGAGGCATTCTTTAAAAACTATAGACTTTTTTTTCAAACCTCACTTCCTCAAAATCAAATAATTTTCCCTGAAAATGTTGGGTGTTCAGTTGTGCAATGGAAAATCTAAATTTTCTTTTGAAAGCAGACACTTCCCCTGCAACATGTCATTTGACTGAAAATCTAATATGGCTTCTACATATGCCAGATGTTTTACCTTGTTATTTTTGGGCAGACCTCTTCTGAGTTTATTATTCTCAGATCTTATTGATGTCGGAAAGTTACACATGGCCCAAGTACTCTTTCTGGTTCTTTCTGTCCAAAAGTCAGTCTGTTAATTGACAGTCACGAAAAAAAAAAGCATCATTTTGCACACTCTGCAGTCCTTGTACACAACCTAGAAGGAGCCAGTGCTCATTCTCAAGGTGTAATAGTTAGATTTACACTAATTAAATAAGTTTGTGGGTATATCCACACTAGGGATCAAGTAAAGTACAGTGCAGATGGTTCTTGAACTGGTGCCAAAGCAAATAGTGCCAGAGTCAGGAGTAATGCATCATGAGAGGCACAAGTCTTTGGCCATTATAAAAGCCATGGGAAGGCATCCCCTAGCAAATTCTCTTTGCTGATTGTTCCTCTATAGCTTGCTACTTTTCGTACATTCTTCATCTTCTTTCTTCTTATTCACCACTAGCCTCAGATGAGGAGATGTTAGGGAGAGGTGGCACAATTATGGAAAGGCCATAATTGTAAAAAAAACATCAGAAGGAAATTACAAATTAAAGTGGAATGATTGTCTAGTTCAGTCTGGCTTCCATTTTCTAATCATCCTAAATTATTTTAATGCACATTTTCAAGTTCAAAATTAGCAAAGGTCCCATGATGTAATTCTCCCAACACCCATTGGATATTACATTATACCAGTTCAATTTCATTCCAATCTCGTGCAGCATCATTTCCCACTCAGAGCACATGTATCATGATTTGGGCACCTCCTACCTGCTCTGTTTCTAGATAATGCTTTTAATGCATGAAGTTTAGGAATCATTGTGGAATAAACCAGTTTCTTATTTGTAAAGGCCCAGGAATATAAGGTAAACAAAATAACTCTTAAAACATGTTTGTCTTTGAAATATCTTAAATTAATAATCAAAAGCTCCCATCAAGTCTAAAACAAATCAAACTCAGTCATGAAGATGAGAAACAGGGATTATTAACTGAGTAGCAAGGTTGATGGAGGCTCAATGAGATCATTTTGTTCAAAGATTAAAGGCGATGAGCACCGGAATAGTTGAGGAGGATGGCTATGAACACATCTGACTAGAGCTGCTAAATTCAGTAATGATCAAAAGTTAATTATCAAAGCAGAGAGAACTACTCAACACAGACAATTTGAGTCAATAGCTAAGCAGCCCAGAAAAAAAGTAATTTGGAAGAAGTATTTTCCTATAATGAAGTTGTATAAAAGACGTACATTTCAAAGAAACCTGCCTAAAACAAGATTGCATTCTTCCTGATCAGAGAAAAATAATTAGCTCTAATTGACAGACCTGCTGCACACCAAATATTTTCAAACAATATGTTTCTACATCAAAGCTTAATGTGTAGAGTTACTCAATGTCACTTTGATTTTGCCTTTCTTTATCTTCTGCCACTGGGCATGCTCATGATATCACAACAAATACGCTTTGAAAAATGAATGAGCAACACATACAAGACAAATAAAAGCAGAAGGCCAGATCCTGCATTTCTTTCTCAGAAGAAATTCCAGGCATTTATTCTGTGCTATGTTTATCATCATCATGTTCCCACTCAGTGGCAAACTGAATCATTTGCAATAGGAAACGTCCAGTTGCTTTATTATCCACCATGAAGTTAGGCTCGTTTGTAGACTGACCTGAGAGTTTGCAGTATTTTTTTAAAACTGTGTGTGAGTGAGCATGTGTGTGAGGATGCTCTCTCCCCAGTATGTACCTTTTCTGAACAATTAGGAAAGTGCCTTCTCTAAGTAGCATAGGAAGAAACTGAGGGGCCTTCTCCAGCTAAAAATCTAAGAAGAGGTATGTGCTAGAATCTTCATAACCCTAGAAAATAAGATACATTGTAATTTCTGTCCCTAAAGCTATCACATTTCCCTCTGGGTAAACAGTTGCCGTCAGCATAGCTAAGCAAGTAGTCAGAAATCAAATGCCCAGTTTAGACTTTGCTCTTTAATATTCCATGTCTTTGACATTGCCAGTTCTCATGCTTTGAAATATCTTCATCTTCTTTAATCTTTCATGCAAACAGTTTAGCTCACACCATCACACACATACTCTACAGAATACCATCCGCTTTACTTTGTATTAGAATCAACTGCATGATTATTTGCTTGTGATCCCAGACCCTTCACACTCTTCTGTTTTCTCTTCCTTATCTGTATTTTGTAAGCAGTTTTTGTGCATATTTTTTAATAATTTGTAGGAAAAAAAGCCCAACCTGTATCTGAGATTTGGATGCAAGCTTCACAAGCCTGAACTCAGAATTGTTATAGTCCAGCTATCTGATATATAGAAGGGTCAAGCAAAACATCACTCTACAGTCAGAAAATCTTCTGGCGTAACAGAAGGCAGTTTATAAGGTTTAAAAATGATTTTAGTTCCCTGCAGGATGGGACTGAAACTTGTTATTTAATGGGAGGCCTGGGTAACTGAAATGCCATTTTTGGTGATGTTTTAGTCCATTTTAAATGAGACATTTGCATGCTGTTACATGTAGTTTATTACTCAGAAAGATTTCTTAAGAACATCCTTTTGAGTCTGCGTGTGCATGAGGCAGCTGAAAAAGGGGGATTTGGGAGAATATCACAGGAATGGGGCAGAACTCTTATTATCTCACTAGTGAGGCAGGGACCCCATTTCATCATAGGCTTGTTGGAGAGGACAGAATAAAGTTTGGGTGAGTAACAGTGATTTGTGCAATCTTAACTTTAGCATTTCCTGAGGTTTAAGTGTTTTATTTAGCAACCTTTACTATACAATTAATATAATGGTTTCATTTGTCATGCATTCATTGATTTATGCTTTAGCTAGAAAATGTAATCCAAATAGAACAAATGCATCTTTCTTTGCATACGAGGAGCCAGCCCAGAAAATTATTGTTGCCCATCTCAGCTCTCACAAGCTTTAATTCCTGCTCTCAAATGAAAACTCAGTAGTAGGGATTTCCATGGACTTGAAACATAGATTTTATCTTTGCTATAGCTGGAAGCAAAAGTGCCAAAACACTAGGTATTTTGAAAAACTAGTCCCATTGAAGAGCCCAAAGGAGAACTTCTTCTGGCAGCATTTGGAATTCAAATGTGCAGGTTCCAGTGGATCCAGATGTTAGTCAGTTTTCCTGTGGGATTTGATTCCTTAAGGGCTTATGCGAGCATTTTTCAGGACCACTGATATCAGTAGTTCTTCTGTGGGAACCATTTTTTCCCACTCCTAAGCATGCCAGATTCTGAAGTCCCTCACCAAAACCCCTCACTTCAATTTTTGTAGGCTTTATAAAATATCTCTCAAGGTAATTAAGCACTAAAACTTTCCGTAGTATAATAGGTTTATGGATCAATAGTCTTAGTTCTGCCTTTCACTGCTGCCTGTGCTTGCAATCTCACTAGCCATCTGACCACTTTCCACATTTAAATCTGTTATAGTCTGGCTCTGTAAATACTAAAAGGAATTCTCCAAATTGATATGGCAGCGCTAGTTTATCTTCAGGTGGTATTTCAAGCCCTCCTGTGTTAAAATATTATTTACCTATTTCAGAAAAATTCAGAGGGAATACAAGGTTGGTTCAGATTACATAATTATGCCACAGAAGCATAAAAAAAATACGTGCACTAAAATCTCGAGCAGCTTAAACAGTTTGATCGACTGTGGCGGTTCTGCCATCGGTGCCCCCAGCTGTGTTGCTTAGCAACATTTTAATTCGAGAAGAATCGAAGGAGATGAAATCCCCGTGGAGAGGGAAACAGAAATAAGAGGGCCGTTGACAGATGATCTGAGTTGTTTCTTCTAATATACTGTGAAGATCACTGGCTCTTTTCATGAATGATAAATGGACTGTACACAGATCAATGGGTTCAGCAATAAACTGGAACCAGGCTCCATGTCTGAGGTGGTGCGGGCCGAGGGGCCCAAAGATTTACTCATTTAGATGACTTGGAGTGTGTTTTCTCAAAGGTTTCACAAGAGGAAATTGATCCGAACGTTTGGTCATCCCTTGCCCTTTTCTGTTGGCGAGTAAAAACTGTTTTGGAAGGAGAGTCCGTTCTTGCCTGTATTGTTTCCTGTTGTTGTTGTTGTTGTTCTAGATATGGACAGATTAGGGCCAGACCTCAAAGCGGGAAATGAAGTCATCGCCCTGAACGAGCAGTTCCTAAACAGTCGTGGCCATTAAAAATAAATAAACCACATCGATATCACAAGCTGAGGAAAGAGTTTTTAAAGCCTGCAGTGCTCGGTCTCTGACGTGGCCGAGCCGGGCTCTCGCAGCCCCGCTCCCTCTGCCCCCGATGGGTATGGCAGCCCCCGCTGGAGAAGGAATTCACATTCATTTCTGTCGTGCATCTGGCATGGGTTGTTTCAGTTGCAGGGAGTTGTGCTTTTAGGGATGTCGCTTAACTGTTTGTCTCCCCCCACCCCTCTTGTGTTTACAGGCTGCTGAAAAGACAAAATTGAGAAACATTCCTGTCAAGTAAGTTATTTTTATACGCATTGGAAAATGTAACTTTAATGAACTTCTTGCATACAGTCACAAAAAAGACTAAGGCAATAAGAAGGGCAATAAAAGAATTCAAGTTACCCCTAATCATAGCTATAAAAAAGTCAGTATCATTGAGGAAAGCTTCTGATTTTGTCATGTGTCCCTAATGATTGCACTCCCCAAGTTTCATCCGGTTTCCATAAATTAGTGTATTGTCTATGAATAGCTGCCAAATAATATCACAATCATATTCAATACATCGTGCTCCTAGCCTTGGGGAGGTTTGTACATGCTAAAAAGATTATGATTTTTAATTGCAATCCCTGAGAAGATCTGACAGGGGGGAAATAACTGAGTGTGCGCCAAGCGATTTCTAAACACATGGGAATATTTTGCACCTATGTATCAAGGCGTTGCCACCCTGTTGATTAAGAGCTCTTTCTCACTCCATGTGTGCGTCTCTCTCCCGCCAAACACACATGTGTGTTTCTGTTCTTTACAGGAGGGCTCGGTGAAGGATGAGAAAGTTACCAGGGAGCAATTTCAGGGCATTTTATGAGAAGTTCTTAAATCTTAGGGCACTAGCGGCAGCACTGAACCATATATCACTGAATTAAGAAAGTTGCAATATAGATGTCCTAGCTCTTTGAGGAAAGACATTTTTGGTTAAAGCTACCAGCAGTCAGTGGTTCTGTTTAAATAATGAATACGTGAGTTTTAATGGGCTCTTATGTACCAATAAAACACATTTTCAGCTTCAGTAGCTAATCATTGCAGTTTAAATAAGTCCTAGTAACTGTATATTCTTGCTCTATACAGAGGAAACATTTTTATTTTCATATTGCTTTGCTGATTATGCAGGCTTTGGGACTAGAGTGTGTTTGTATTTGTAATAACATGCACAGATAGGACTCACAAGTCGTTGTGTTTTGGGGTGCATAACAAAAGGATATGGTTCTACTTCTCACTTGGCGTCCATCGTGTATGGTCATTTACACCTTACAAAGTGAATGCAAAACATGTATGAACACTGCTTGGAATGATTAGGCAGGATGTAAGATAGTCATAAATCAGTCTCTCTTTATGTTTCATTTAATCTGATAAAAATTAGAAAGGGGATCCAGCAGGGACCTGATAGCACATGAAACTTCTAATAAGACAAGGGACCTTTCGTGCCTATAGGGCTAGTTCGAATTCAGTGCAAGCTGAATTAAAGTCATTGTTAGCTGTGGTTATTTAGTAGTGTGAAATGAGCTGTGATTTCACCTCACCGTCTGAAGATTCAAGAACAGAAAATTGATGACGGTCCTGGAGAACAACTCCAAAATAATCATATATTTACTTTTTTCATATTTTGGATCAAATTCTCTAGAACAGCTCAACTGAATTGAGTTCTCCGGCGAATAAGAGAGGTATTGAGCCTTGCGGTCATCAAAGAGCTTGTGTGTGACACTGATGCCCAGTTACTCCACCAGAAGTGAGGGAGAAGGGGGCTAGGTTAAATCATTCCCTCCTGGGACTCGAATAAGTGTTTTAACATTTTGGAGTGGAAGAAGGCCAGATGGACAGTCTCACTCTTTCCACCTA